GAAAGATGGCTCTAGAATTAATTAGCTCTGTGTAGGACTTGGGTTTGGAGAATTCTGCACTGTCTGAGCAGATTTTGTTTAGCTGTGCTAGCCCATCCTGCTCCTTACCTCATCCCTCTCCTTCCTCCAAATGCCTCTTGCTACCTCTCTTACAGTGAGTGTGACACAAACACTGGGAAGTGATTTCCTCTTACCTAGTGCCACAGAAAGGAGATTTACTCTAGTGGAATTTGTTCTCCATTTCTCACTAACCTGAAGTAAATGTTGGCTGTGGAAGCAAGGAAGAACTGATAGTTGTCTGGAGTGTTTACTCAATGCTAATAAATCCTCTTAATCATCATCAGATGAGAGAACAAGGTCAGGTACAGTTAGAGCTAGCTGCCTCCTACATGGTTTCTTTCTAAGTAGGTTATGGCAGTGGAAGTGCTGAGTCACAGGAAATAATATTGAGAAAATGTCTTCTGTAGCTTTTTCTTGTGCAGCATTCGTGAATAAAAAAAAATAGAAAGTATTTTGTGAAGGATTTCAGTCCTAAAACTATCTAATGCAGCAGTGATGCCTTTGTGGTAACATGTCAGGTAACCACAGATGATTAACAAGAAACTCTGTGAATGGCTTAAATTAGATTCTTTTTAGCAGAGAGGTTATTTCCACACATTTTTCTCCCATGCTCACAGCACAGCTCAGTGTTGTTGAGTCATTCTGCTCTGTATAACACTGCAGTGTGTCCCCTCCTTGCTGAGAGCTCTGGGGGTGAGCAGCACGTGTGCAGTCAGAGGGAGAGCTGACTGCACTGTGAGCACATTGTGAAGGCTCTGGGAAGTCCTTGGGAATCACTCCCAGTTCTGTTCCCAGCCGTGTTCCTTTCCCTGGGTAGTGTTTTGTGCTGTGTCCCTGCTGCTCAGGTGAGTTCCTGAAGGGTAACTTGCCAGTGTGCCTAGACATGAATTAATCATGTGGAATGCAGTATCTACTCTCATTGTCTGCTTTCTGGAGGTGTATGTGTCAGAATAAGGGTATTGAAATGATAATTTGACCTCAATATTTCCGAGGCTGGGATTCTTAAACACCATTCTGCTTAATTTCTCTCTCTGAAAGGCTCATCCTGAAGTTGTCTTGTAAGAAGAATATTTAAGCACGGTGATATCTTTGGCAGATATATAATCCAGTTGTCTTTTCTCTTCAGAGCTAGGCTTTTGTTTGTCTCTGGCAGTGCTGACAAGCATTAGCAGCCACAGTTTTGCTGTAGCTGAGAGCAGAGGAGATGAGTTACATCCCTGACACCACAGAGGAGAGTTGCCTCAGGCACAGAAAAGGAAGCATCTCAGTGATCAAGGAGGGGAACACATGAATTTGCATGGAAAATGTTTTCCTAACATTTTTTCATTAGTGCAGTGTTTAAGAATTCGAAGGCATTCTAGAAGTTCTTTCTTCTACACACTGAAATGCTTGTTTGTGTTTGCAAGGCACTGCAAAAATGAGAAACACCGTTCCGAAGGAATTAAGAGTGTATTTTTACACTAGGTTTTTGGAGGTGATAAATTTTTTCTGGACAGGATTATTTCCTCAGAATCATCCTTGTGTCTCTCAGGCACCACACACTGAGCCAAGTGCAGTTTGGAGCTGAGTTCCTGTGGGTGTCCAGCCAGAGGATTGGCTGGGACTGTGCGGTGTAGCTGCAGCAGAAGCAACTTAGAGCAACTTGATTTCATTGACAGAGAATCAAACAAGTGGGTCATGGTGTTAAGCAATGCCCTTGAGGTCCTACCAGCCAGTCCCTGGAATTCAGGGACTGCAGTGTGGTTGTTGAGAAGAATATTCCCAGCATAACTGCACAGTGCCATTGTACAGGCCCTGGTGTTCCAGACTGGGTGAACATGAAGCAGAGCCATTTCTCGGTGAACAGTCAGAGTTACCTGATGCACTTTAACCCAAGCGTTTATTTTAGTTTGACTTGATGTTTAGAGAGGAAGATACCAGTGGGGAAGAAACCTGTCAGTTTGTCCAGCCCTCCCATGGCAGGTGAGGTGCGGAGGAGCTTCTCTGGTGATGACGAGTTGACTCCTCCTCCATACCGAGCCCTTCCAGCACAGACAGCCCCGGAGGCCTTCCAGCCTCCCAGGACTAGCCAAGAGTTCAGTCCCAGCCTGCAAACAGGTAACTAGCCACATCAGTGTGTTCTGCAGAGGGAATCCATGCACAGGGTGGGGAGCTACGCGTGGGCTAGTGTGTCATGTGCCGACTCATCAAGTGTTTCTTTCCTTTCCTTTTGTTTCTGCCTTTAAATTTTGGTTGCCTTTATTTTTTTTTTTTCTGTTAGAGAGCTTTTCATTCTCACTGATGCACCACCTCACTGAACCAAGCAGGGAAAAGGTTTGTAGCTGGCTTAGCACTTAGGAGCTTTTCATTCTCACTGATGCACCACTTCACTGAACCAAGCAGGGAAAAGGGTTGTAGCTGGCTTAGCACTTAGGAGGAGGCTGTAGTGTAGGTTACTGAGAGTCCCAGAGGAGCTCTGCAGAGTTTTAAATGATGGAAATGCACTCTGGAAAGCTGAGTGGTAGTGTGGATTTGGGAGTCTTTGGTGTAAGCAGGACATGAGTGTGAATTGTCTTTTGCAGAGAAAAGAACTATGCACAGTAAATAAACATTTTTGCCTCTATCAGAAAAAGGCAGAGACCTGGGAAAATAGCTTCAGAATGTGTTGTTTGAAATTTTGTGGGTTACTAAGATAGAAAACATTAGAAGCAGTATAATTGTGCATCTCTATGAGTCTGCAGGGGAGAACTCTTAAAAATTCCTTGATCAGTAATATTGAGGCAGTAGATTAAAATTCCTTATTTAAAGATCATTTATGTATTGCAATCAATCTTCAGTTACAGAAGTTCACTGCAAAGATCTGGTAGTTTATTCTCTTCCCTTTTCCTAATATCTGCGATGACATAACACAGCAGGTAAAGAAACTACTGCTAACAAATATGTTGTAGCAATATGATCTGTCAGACAAACTGGATGATGCTCTCCCTGCAGAACAGCTGCCAGGTCGATAGATTTACCTTCAGATTTGCTTGATTACTCCCTTAAATTTGCCTTAGTCCAAGCTGACTGCCATGTCAGCACTTTGCATTGGCTGTGCAATACATCCAGGACAGCTTCTCTTGTCCATGTGTTACCCATTAACAGACTGGGACATGGGAACCTACTCTGCCACCTTTAGACCCTGAAGACAAGTCTTGACCCTTCTGCACACCTCTCAACACTTCTCAAGGGCTCCTGTAGTTTCACTTCAGCTTGTTGCTGGCGTGTACATGTCTCTTTGATGCCAAAGAGAAGCCTTGCTTGGGAGACAGTGTCCTGGGGTGTTTGTTTCTTCACTGTGGTTCTTCTCTTGCTGCAAGTCTACACCTGAATGGCATTTATGTGGTGCACAGACTGAACTTCTGTGTCATTAGATCTTAGAGTTCCTGTGAAGCACCTGTCTTGTTTGGTTTCTGATGCTTTCTGGAGGGAACTTCTCAAAGCTCTGAGTTTTGGTGAGGCTGGACAAAATTAGCTTTGTGGTGTAACCATGTCATTGCCCAAATGTGTTTGTGTTTAGATTGAAACCAGCAAGAACACACCTTTTCAATCTAGGGAGGAGAAGGGCATAACCCTGATAACCATCTAGTAAGTTCAGAACACTTTTGACATGAGCCAGAACTTGGTAATTCATGTTCAGCATCATACACTGCCTCAGGTTTCAGTAGCCATGGGATGGATGTAGGCACAGTGCAGGAGATGCAGTGTAAGGTCAGTAACAAGACAGGAATCTGCTCTGAAACTTCTTGTCTGTGGGAGAGCTCAGTAAGGCTCAAAACCAATTCTTTCTCCTTTGGTACTGTCATAAGCACAAGAGGAGGTTTCAGCACTTGTTCATCTCATTTGTATGAAGTGGTTGTGCTCTCTAACAAAGTCATGGCACTGCTTTAGTGTGCACAAGAACTTAGCATCTTTGTCATATGTAACGATCTTCTGAGCACTGAAATTCAGCTGTTGGACAGCTTCACTCTAAAACAGAGCCTATAGCCAGCCTGGCAGAGGAGGTGACCATTCCCAGAGACTCTCCCTACCTCTGGACCACTTCGCCCCATTCTGCATTGGTTTGGGGGTGTTGGATGCCATTGCATCACAGTCTGCCTGTGTCTCTGGGCAAACCACTGAGATGATGTACAAAGGGAGCACTCTGCCCTTCTGCATCCCTTTTCCTTCTGAGAGGATCAGCTGGATGACTTCATTAGTTTCTTCATTCTTTCAAGCAAGATGAGGTGTAGCTGCAGCTAAGCTTTCCTCATGGAAGAGTGTAGCTCAACGGTGTCTAACAGAGCCAAACAAAGCCAAGTGTTGTTAAACATTCAAGTGTCAGGACTTCAGACAATGCAGATCATGGTGAGTGCTGTGCCTCCTGTACCTGCAGAAGTTTTCTCCTGTGGGACAGAAGGAGAAGAACGTGCCTGGTGGGTTCCACATTGTGTCCCTGACCTCCATATAGCCCTTGCTTGAGGTATTGCAGCACATCCAAGTAACCAGTTGTGTGGATATAGACAGCAATTTGCTGTCCTCCACAGATCAGGACTCTTGATCAGAGCCAGGGTAAAAAAACATTTGGGGGGAAAAAAAAAAAAAGGAAGGAAGGAAGGGATTGTGTGCTGAGTAGGTGGGAGGAAGCATCTATTTAAGGCAGAGATAAGGAGAGCTTTGATTTTGCTGCAGCTTTTGACATCTTTTATTATCTTAATTCTCAGATTTTATTTTTCTTTAGCACAAGAGTTTGTTTCCACGTGGAAAAGGACATAGAAAAATTATAAGAGAATAATCCAATGACTTGTAAGTTACTGCAGAGCTACAGTAGCAGCAGGTTATGGGTTGAGGTTTTTTCCCTTTCACTGCATATTTCTGCATTTCAAGATACATTGATAATGTATATGAACTTTCAGTAGCTGTAAGCTTTAATACTCTTCTCATTCATTTGGTCATAGAGAATCATTTATTTTTCTAGAATCAACCCTTTAATGTGGGTACTGCACCTTTAATGGAAGTCTTGACATGTTTTGCTTTTGGTGTTCATATTTTGATAATCATCACTATCCATTAATGAAACTGGAAAATAATTGTGACATTATTGCTATTCATAACATCTTTTTTTATGTCTTAGATCTCATTTCTATTTTCTTTTGACAAAAGAAGAGAGAAGATTAAAAGTGCCCCAAAAAAATGTTTTGCTTGAATGAAACTTACCTTCTGGGATCTTGGCATTTTCATGATGGATTGAGAAATCTTTGTCCATGTGTTTTCTTGTCTCACATGGACTGAAACTGCAATGATAGGACAAGGGGTAATGGATTCAAACTGAAGGAGGGGAAGTTTAGGCTAGGTATTAGAAAAAAGTTTTATACTCTAAGGGTGGTGAGACACTGGCACAGGTTGCCCAGGGACCTGGTGGTGTTCAAGGCCTTGAGCAATCTGCTCTGGTGAGGAGGTGTCCCTGCCCAGGGCAGGAGGTTGGGGCTGGATGATCTGTAAGGTCCATTCCAACCCCTAAATTCTAGGATTCTATGGTTACAGGGACTGGGCTAAGTAATGTGCATTGCAGATTGGAAGTGGCCAACAGTTAATCTCATTTTGACTTGTGTAAAGAGTAAATAGGAAGTAAAGAGTAAAGTGTTCCGAGCAACACTCATTATTGCTATTAACCTGTTCAGTTACCACTTTAAACTAGTGGTTTAAAATACTGAATTATTGAGAAAACCCAATAAAGAATATATTACTGTAAATAATTTGTTGAAATTAGGGCATAACTTCAGTTCATGATCAGACAGCATCTGCTTTCTGTGGGATCCTGAGTGCGACAGAATCGCTGAAATGCACAAGGACTTGGGAAATCTTGAATTTGTTCCAAATTTCAATCACATGAAGTAAATTTAAGGGAAAATTGTCCTTTAAATTTTCTCAATCTTGAATGTTGATTTGTTTCTTTGTAGTTACTTCATTGCAGCTGAAGGAGGAGTTGCTGGATGGAGATGACTACAGCTTCCTTCAAGGAGCATCTGACCAGGAAAGCAACGGGTCTGCCAGTTACTACATCAAACAGGAACCATGAGGCAGCTCAGAAGAGTGAGGGGCAGAGCATTGGTGACAGGACAAGAACCTTTCTCCAAGACTGACTGATTTTGCTCCCACTTGGATGGTACAGTTCTGGTGGCTGTGCCTGGGGCACTTTGCTAACTGTAGACAAGTTAGACTCAGTTCAGAATTTTTTTGGAAGGGAGGGGGAAACTATTTTAGTGAAAAAGATTTTTCAATTTATTAAAAAAAAAAGCCGAAAAAAAATGGACACTTTTGTGTTGTATTTGAAGCTTTTGAAAGAATTTTGTAATATTTTCAAGTTCAGATTTATTGTGCATTGTTAACAAGAACTGAAATTCTAATTTTTTGGTAAGATTAAAGTTTAATTAGCCTGGTTGTGGGAAGCAGTTGGAGGAAGATGTAGTTGCAAATACAAATGAACTGTCATAACAAATGAACCTTTTTGGTACAAGTTGGGAGACTTTTAGACTCTTGTGAACTGCACTGGTCACGCCTCTGGGGTTTTTTTCATTGTGAAAATTAAGGCATTTAAGCCCTAATTTAGAGGCAAAAGTTGTATGTGGAAGAAAGTCCTGTAAAACTCTACTCAGTGAGTAGCCCCAAGTGCAACGGAGCCATCGCCTGAGGAAGATTTTAACTTTTCAAGGTGTTTTTATTTCCTTTACAAGACCTTTTTTTATATAAGGTTTGGTTTTTTACTGTTCCTTAGGGTCTGATTCAGTGCCCATGACTATCAGTAGCCTTGTCTCCGTCGACTGCAGTGGGCACTGGGTTGGGTCTGCAGAGCTCTTGTCTGTACATGAATGTCTGTAGTCTTGGAATGCTTCAGCACATGTTTACAGAGCCCTATGCCAAACTGGAACTTGAGCAAATTCCCTCATTTGGAAGCTTAGTTTTAGCTCTGAATTTCGACTGAAGGAGCAGCTTAGATGGACAGTAACTCAGGCCTCCCTTGGTAGTGGGAAGGAACTTGTGAGTATTCTTCGGAATTTTTTTTTTTCCCCTTCAGAAAACCCTGTAGATGTTTCCTTACCATCCTAAATATTTATCTGTGAACACTGAGAACTGATGTTCCACATGGTTTCAGGTGAGCTGAAAGGAGCCATTTGTTGTGGATTACAAAATGAGTTCAGTCCTGCATAGCCTGCAATGTTCTTGTCTTGCTGCAATCGTGTCATATGGGAGTTGAGAACAGTATAAAAATCATCCATTGTCTAGTAGATAATTCTTAAACTGGATCTGCTTATTGCCTGGAATCCTTGTGTCTCACATCAGGTGTCCCATTGGCCCCACCTGTCCTACTGTCCAGAGTTTTAAAAGGCAAAAGTCACACAAAAGGCTGAAAATGATGACCAGTAAAACATAAATTGTTTTGCAGGAGCTCTCAATAATTTGGATTTTCTCCTTCCATAGTTTTAACCTTTGTGTGGTTTTTTTTTTTTTGTAAATGATCTTGTTCATGGAGTTGATTGGTGAAGTGGTTGATCAGCCCTGCAGAGCTGTGACTGGAAAAATGTGCATCAAGAGCTTTAGCTTTTACCAGTAAGGTTCATTAACTATAAACTCTCAGGAATTAACTGCATATGTTCTATAAGTGCTTCTGGGTCTTCACAGGTCCCGTTCAGAGCAGGACAAGGAGCATCTGACTCTTGATCATAAATTAGGGCTTAAAAAAAAAAAAAAAAATCAAAATTATTGACATCTGTGTTCCTACAGCCTAAGAAATGCTTTAAGGATATCAACCCACAGAGCCCCAGGAGACCATTTTTGTACATTGTTGTTTGATCTTTAAAAAAAAAAAAGTGCATAGAAAGTTGAAAACCAGCAATTTGATTATTTTCTGAAGTATTGCTCTAACTTTGGGTACATAGTGTTGGTGATATGCACAGGTTTACCTCATTCTATGCAAGAGGGGTTAATTATGTAGAGTTTTGTATTTACTACTGGAAGTAAAAGCTGTCCTGTATAGTGTAGGAATGTCTGGAATTCTTTGCTCCCTTACTGGTAAAAATTCCTAAATAATGATCCCTTTTTAACCACAGCTTCTTCTATTGACAGAATCTGGTGTTCAGATTGTAGCTATCTGTACCTTCAGGTGGTAAAAACATTTTAGCTCTCTAAAATAGCCATAAAAAGGACTTTGTCAGGCCTGGAGACTTCAAATAACTATCAGATTCTGACCCACCACAGTGTTTCTTTTGAACAGCCTGGGCTGGAGAAGTAGGATTAGAGACCATTGTCATGACACTTTGAGCCTTGATTGTGTTGGTTTTTTTCCTGTGTTCTCAATTTAACCTGCTGTGAAATCCAGCCCTTCAAGCATTGATTTGCTTGGGTAAGTACAGCACTAGTGACTTATTTATTTTTCATGCAACAACCTGCAGATTGTCCCAGTCAGGAGGTACAAGGTTCTCTCAGTCTTGCTTTCTTCTCCCATCAACAGCTTCAGACTTCAGTAGAAAAACTGTTGCTCAGGCTAGCAGTGAGTGTGTGCCAGGTCACTAAGCCTTGGGCTCAGTCTGGGAGTATTACCCAGGCTCATCCCTGAGTTTGGAGTTAAGTCTTCAACAGGGAAAATTACTCCTTAACACACTTTGTGTGTTGGAGAAATGTAAGGATCTGGTTTGAAGTCTGTCAGTCTTTATAATATTCCTTTAAAAATGGGTATTTTATTCATGGAACACTAAAGTCTGTGAGGTGATGTGTGTTCTCGGGTACCTGTGTGACTTGAGGAGTTAGTGACATTTGTGTTTCTCAGTTGTGGAACTGTCAAGTACAGTGACATCTGTCCTAAACAAAGCACCTAAGGAGCTTCTCCAGGTCCCAGGTTTAGGACAGATTAAAGGAGAAGCTGAGCACAATTGTTCCAGGGATGTGGAGTGGTCTCCAGCGTGGATGGCTCCGGGGTGTCTGTGGCAGCTTGGGGAAGCATTCCCGTGGCTCTGGGGATTGTTATCTGGGCTGTAAGCTGTGGTCCTTGGCTGAGAGAGCAGCAAAGTGTTGGACACCTGAAACCTTCACTGGGGTCAGACTCACTTCAGCATTTGGCACAGCAGGTTTTTAGGACCGTGAGGAGGTGCAAGTCCTGTACCTTTGCTGCTGCCCCTTGTTGCTCAAACCTCTCTGCTGGGCTTTGGTTTGTCTTATTTTCCACACAACTCCCTAACCTGTTCCTTGCTACAGCAGTTATGGATTCCTCGTTCTACGGATACTAACACGGGTTTCAGTGTTTGTTTGGTTTTTTTTATTGTTGTTTTATGTGATGTGAATTCCCTCCCGTCAATATTTGTACGATGGTGCTAATATATTTGGTAACAATCCTTTACTGGGAAGGGATTTTAAAAAAACTGTGATTTCAGCTGAATTTTTCTTCCTTTTAATTTTTTTTTTCATATTTAAAACAAAAAGCCACAGCCATTTATACAAAAACAAAAAAAAAAAAAGGCATCAGCTTTGGCCCCTGGGAATCAAGATTAAGCAAATGGGGTTTTTACATCATTTCTGTATGTATTTGATATATAGATCAATATCTGTACAAATTTAATCTTTTATTTTCTTGGTAATTTGTGTGGTCAGTGAGGGAGCATTTAAAGCTTTCTCATGCAATGTACATAACTCAGTGAAAACAAAAAATGCTTTTGGAGAAATTAATGTTCCTTTCATTTTTACGAGACTGCAGATTTTCAGCATGGATGTGAGAAGCATTAAAATTATAACTTTGTGTACAAGATGAAAATAATTCACTAAATTTGCCTTTTTTACACAAAATAAAAATGAGAAAAAGTCTGACTAGTGAGTGTTGTGTTTAAAAAGCACTGCTAGCCCTAAATGCACTGCAGCTTGTTTCTCTCTCTGGAGAGCACAGATAAACACCCACAACTTGTAAAAAATATGAATATTTTAAGTCACTGGCTCTGTTGGTCTGACCACAAATCAACCACATGGAGCCCTGAACACAACAAGGTAAGGGGTTTAATATGGGAAGGTGGCACTAGGGAAGCATTTCATTGAGAACAAGCTTTGCACTGGTCTCATTTCATCTGCTATTAATAGTTGTGTAAGGAGGGAAATTTTGTGGTATCTTCTCCTCCAGCTCAGTTCTGTTTCAGCTTCCCTCCAGCTCTGCCTCCAGAAGCTTTTCCACTGCCCTGAGTCCAGCAGCTGTGCCAGGCACACACATCACTGGGTTTTTACTCTGATGTGCCTGTTCATGGCCTTTCTTGTTAACTGTTTTTACAAGGGGGAATATTGAACAGCTAAAATGACTTTGTACATGGCCTTTCTTGTTAATACTCCTCCCACCAGAGAGAAATACTGAACAACTGAAATGTCTGAGTCCCTGAACACAGGGTCTGGAAGTGAATGCACCACAAGGAATTAGTTCACACCCCTTTATTTGACAGTCCCTTTCAGCACTCAGGTACCCGTGGTTGCTCCCAGGTCAGCAGCTGGAATGAGATGAGGTGTCAGGAAGGCACAAATCACTCATAGATCCAGTCATGGGCACAAGACTTGTAGTCGATGAGCTCTGCAGGTTTGAACCACAGGTTGATCTCCTTCTGGGCACTCTCCACGGAGTCACTGCCATGGATGATGTTCCTGGGGGAGATACCAAACGTTGTCTGGGCACTCTCCACGGAGTCACTGCCGTGGATGATGTTCCTGGAGGAGATACCAAACATTCCCTCTGAAAATACACTTCAGCAACCTTCAACATGCAAAAACTGGGATGAAGCATCTAGAGCTGCCAGACTGCTACTTTTATTTCAGGTACAGTATTCAACACAAAGAGCTAACTAGGCCTAGCAGGGTCACTAGGGCTCCTGTACTACACCAGCCACTGCCTGAGCTTACATGCTGCTCTGGGGAGGAGCTGATCCCAACCCAAGTCAGTTTTGTACCATTTTCTAAGCAGGAGTTAAGGATTGTAACCTGCAAATGAAACATCAGACTAGGAGGGTATCTACCACCCATTCTGGCTTTCTAGAATAAAAGGCCTACCAACAGATTTTATGTTGGAAGTTAAACATTGAGTAATAGCTGTTGAGTTTTTAATCTCAAGATGAGCACAAACCTTCCCACTTGAATGCAGAAGTCCCCACGGATGGTACCAGGCTTGGAGTCTGCAGGGTTCGTTTCCCCCAGCATTACTCTCCCAGTTTTAACCACGTTGAGTCCTTCCCATACCTTAAGGGAAAACAAAGACAAAACAAATCCTGTTAATCCATGCTTATACAAAATACCAAAGATTAATCTTTGCTAATACCACACTTTGCAAAGAAACAAAGGCTCTACCACTAAAAAAAAAATGAACCTTGTCTGGATTCTTCCCTTAGGCCTGTAAAAGGGAATAAACACATCAGGGAAAGTGGTTATAAAAAGGACCAACACTTACTCCAATGAAGGAGGTACTTTACCAAGCATCAGAGGTAACTAATGCCCAAGGCCAACCCCAAACCTTTCTGTTGTTGGTAGGATAAGGACACCTGATGAGCTGGAGGCACTCCCAGTTAGGTACAGTCAAACCAGGAGATGCTACTGGAGCAAGTACATTGTTCTGGGGGGAGTGCAAGAAAGAATGATACAGGGGAGAGCCCTGATCCTTTGTGACCAAACCACAGTATTTTTGGTGCAGAAGATTGGTTTTCAGGAGTTCTGCTTAATACAATTTAAGCATTTTAATACATATATTATACATGTACTTTCCTTCTTGACTGTCTTCATTGTAATTTTGGAGGGGTTTGCCTCTGGTTTGAAAAAATGTTTAACAAAATCTCTGAATATTTAAAATAACTTACAGAGCATGACCAAGATGATGCCCTTGAATACATTTAAGTAAAATCAAGCCACTTACCATGGCCACAATAGGCCCAGAGTTCATGTATTTAACCAAACCAGGGAAGAAGGGTCGATCTTTCAGGTCAATGTAATGTTGTTTGAGAAGATCTTCAGAGGCCTTTAAAAGGACAAAGGCATCAGTGACTGGACTGAGCATTAAACAGAACATCACACCACAAAAGGTGTTACTGCTCTAAGACAACAGCATCAATGACTGGATTGAGCATTAAATATGATTTTCAGAACATTATACCATAAAAGGTGTTACTGCTGCAAGACAATGGCATCAGTGACTGGATTGAACATTACATGTGATTTTCAGAACATCCCACCATGAAAGGTGTTACTGCTGTAAGACAACAGCATCAGTGACTGGATTGAGCATTAAATGTCACTTTTAAAACACACCACAAAAGGTGTTAACTGCTGCAAGACAACAGCATCAGTGACTGGACTGAGCATTAAGTGTCACTTTCAGAAAATCACATCACAAAAGGTGTTACTGCTGTAAGACAACAGCATCAGTGACTGGACTGAGCATTAAGTGTCACTTTCAGAAAATCACATCACAAAAGGTGTTACTGCTGTAAGACAACAGCATCAGTGACTGGACTGAGCATTAAATATCACTTTCAGAATACCCCACCATAAAAGGTGTTATTGCTGTAAGATAATGGCATCAGTGACTGGATTGAGCATTAAATATAACTTTTAGAACACACCACAAAAGATGTTACTGGTGCAAGACAACAGCATCAGTGACTGGACTGAGCATTAAATATGATTTTCAGAGCATCCCACCATAAAAGGCATTACTGCTCTAAGACTGGGCTGAGATGCTCTCAGCAGTGCTGTGGATGGTTCCAACAGACTTTCCCAGTTTAAAACTGTTAAAACAACCTCCCCATCCTGCCTGGCAATACCAGCGCTGGGAGCTGCCAATATTCTCTTTGCACTGCAGCAAACCTCAGAGCCCAGCAGAGCCCCGAACGCCTGGGTGAAATTACCCAACAGAGCCTTTCGTTCAAGGTCGTTTGGCCTCTCTGCTCAAAGCAGGGAGTGTTTCCCCAGCCATCAGCCGAGGCGGAGCTAATTGCTGGCAGGAAACTCGGCCTGACACGCCACCAGTTCTCCCAGTCCCAATCCACCCCCAACTTCCCAATCCGGGCCAGAAAAACCTTGACATCAACATCTCCACATTCAACTCCCTTTTTAGCAAAAAAAGGAAGGAATTTGGAACAAAACCTCTATGGAGATGGAAGGATTAATCCTTTTTTCCTCTAAACCAGGCAGGGAGGGAGACTCACATGCAGGAATTTCATAGCCACGAGTCGGAATCCTTTTTGCTCGAAGCGCTTGATGATCTCCCCGACCAGTCCTCGCTGCACACCGTCGGGTTTGATAGCGATAAAGGTTCTCTCGCAATTCCCAGCCATGGCGCTGTGCGGGAGAAAGGAAGAGGAGGAGGCTGAAAA